AGGGCCGAGACCAGGGGCCCGACGGGGGCCCGGACCCGGAGCCCGGCTCCAACAGCGATTCGACCCGTAGGCAGAGACGACAGAACCGGTCGTCTTGGATTGACCCGCCCGAGGAAGAACACTCGCCCCAGCTCACCCAGGCAGAGCTGGAGAGCTGTATGAAGAAGTACGAGGTGAGGAGGGGGCGGGGCCTCGCAGGGGGCAGGACACACCGTCCGAGGGTGAAAGCAGTTGGGGTGGGAGGGAGTGGTGATAACAGGGCCCTTGATGCTGAGATGCTACAGGAGAGGAAGGCCTAGCCAGATAGAGGAAGCCTCTGGACTGGCCGAGGATGGGGACAGGCCCTGGGTCCTTGTGGGATAATCTGAGGGAGGCGGGCTCAATGGGAGGAAGATTGTCCGAGGGAAGAGGCTTCCAGGTCTGAGGCCCGCCCACTCGCAGGACACATTCCAGGACTACCAGGAGATGTTCGTGCAGTTCGGCTACGTAGTGCTCTTCTCATCCGCCTTCCCCCTGGCGGCGCTGTGCGCCCTGGTCAATAACCTCATTGAGATCCGCAGCGACGCCTTCAAGCTGTGCACCGGGCTGCAGCGGCCCTTCGGCCAGCGCGTGGAGAGCATCGGCCAGTGGCAGGTGGGGGGAAGCCAAGAGCTCTGAGCTGAGGCCCAGATGGAGCCCAGGTGTAGCTGGGAGGAGCCTGGGGTCTGGGGAGGCCGACTGGACCCCGCCTGAGCCCTCCTGCCACCCTGCAGAAGGTGATGGAGGCCATGGGTGTCCTAGCGATTATGGTCAACTGCTACTTGATCGGCCAATGCGGGCAGCTGCAGCGCCTCTTCCCCTGGCTGAGCCCGGAGGCAGCCATCGTGTCCGTGGTGGTGCTCGAGGTGGGGCCGGCGACAGGGGCAGGGGCAGCTGGGAGGTGGGAGGGCGGCCCCAGCGTCTGCAGCCTGCAGCCTCCTCTCTGCCACCCCTGCAGCACTTTGCTCTGCTCCTCAAGTACCTCATCCACGTGGCCATCCCTGATATCCCGGGCTGGGTGGCGGAGGAAATGGCCAAGCTGGAGTACCAGCGCCGGGAGGCCTTTAAGGTAGGGGGGCCAGGCTGGGCTGGGTTTTCTCACTTGTGGGGTTGCTGGTGGATCTCTGATCTTGGTGACCAATTCCTTAGCATGAGGGCAAATGCAGAGACTGCACAGAGCTGGGTGTAAGAATTAGTGCTCCCTGGCTGGGTGCAGTGGCTCACTCCTATAATCCCAGTGCTTTGGGAGACCAAGGTGGGAGGATCGCTTGAGCCCAGGAGTTTGAGGCGCAGGGAGCCATGATCGTGCCGCTGCACTCCAGCCTGGGTAATGGAGCAAGACCCTGTCTCTAAAAAGAGTAGTAATAAGCAATAATAGGCCGGGCACGGTGGCTCAAGCCTATAATCCCAGCACTTTGGGAGGCCGAGACGGGCGGATCACAAGGTCAGGAGATCGAGACCATCCCAACATGGGCTAACATGGTGAAACCCCGTCTCCACTAAAAAAAAACACAAAAAAACTAGCCGAGCGAGGTGGCGGGCGCCTGTAGTCCCAGCTACACGGGAGGCTGAGGCAGGAGAATGGCGTGAACCCGGGAGGCGGAGCTTGCAGTGAGCTGAGATCCGGCCACTGCATTCCAGCCTGGGCGACAAAGCGAGACTCCGTCTCAAAAAAAAAAAAAAAAAAAAAAAAAAAAAAAAAGCAATAATAACTAGTGCTCACAACGGCTCCAGTCGCTTCTGGAATCCTGGTGGCATCCAGCACCAGGCTGGCTCTTCAGAACCTTCAGTCATCCACCAGCTTGCCCCATTGCATCCTGTTAGGGGGCCAGGGACACAGCGGAGGCTTCCTAGAAGCCCAGCTTCTTCGGCATTCCTCAGAAAGCTATAGCATGGGCCAAGGAGCTCCCCAGTGCCTGCACAGGGAACATTCCTCGAGGATGACAATGTCCTGTGTCTGCACTGTCCCTGCAGCCTTTAGCTACAGGTGATGAGTGAGCACGCTGAAGTGGGACTACTGCGACCAAGAAACTGAATTTTTATTTTATTGAACATGAATGCCTTTAAGTTTACATTGACAGAGCCTCGCGTGGCTACCTGGGTATAGTCTGCTGCAGTCACGGTCCTTTTTTTTTTTTTTTTTTTTTGAGACAGAATCTCTTTCACTCTGTTATCCAGGCTGGAGTATAGTGGCACAATCTCGGCTCACCACGACCTCCACCTCCCAGGTTCAAGCAATTCTCGTGCAATTCTCGTGCCTCCCAAATAGCTGGGATTACAGACACGTGCCACCACGCCCGGCTAATTTTTGTATTTTTAATAGAGATGGGGTTTTACCGTGTTGGTCAGGCTGGTCTCCAATTCCTGACCTCACGCAATCTGCCCACCTCCCAAAGTGCTGGGATTATAGGTGTGAGCCACTGCGCCCAGCCTGCAGCCACAGTTCTGTCTCTTGCCTGTTCTCTGGGAAGCAGGGGATCAGTTGAGGCTCAAGATTGGTTTCCACTTTACCAATTCCTAAGACGCTGTCTGGCACACAGCCGGGGACAGAGTTGATGGCCAGTGAATGTTTGTTTTCTTTTCAATTCCCAGAAAGTACCGGCATGGGTCCAGGGAGTCATTCAGTTGCACCCAATAAGCCTCAGAATCTCCAGTTCCCCAGAGAATCTCAGTGTGGGCCCAGAGATGCAGTTGGCACCCAATAAGCTTTGTTTTTTTTCTTTTTTTGAGACAGAGTCTCACTTTGTCCCCAGGCTGGAGTGCAATGGCACGATCTCAGTTCACTGCAACCTCTGTCTCCTGGGTTCAAGTGATTCCCCTGCCTCAGCATTCCGAGTAGCTGGGATTACAGGCATGCACAACCACGCTGTTAATTTTTATATTTTTGGTAGAGACGGGGTTTTGCCATGTTCGCCAGGCTGGTCTCGAACTCCTGGCCTCAAGTGATCTGCCCACCTCGGCCTCCCAAAGTGCTAGGATTACAGGCGTGAGCCACTGCGCCTGGCCCCAATAAGCATTTAAGCCTCCCTGACTTCCACAGAGAGGCCCATCATGTACCTGGGAATGCAATTGGCACCCAGTAAGTGATTGGATCTCTCCCACTTCTGCAGGAAGCCCCCATTGTGGGTGCAGGGATACAGTTGGAACCTAATAAGCATTTAAGTCTCCCCTACTTTTGCAGAGAGCCCTGGCATGCACCAGCCTTGGCTGGCACCTGCTAACACCCTTTCTTCTTAGTCGTGTAACGGCTTGGCTCTACCTGCAGAGACACGAGCGCCAGGCCCAGCATCGCTACCAGCAGCAGCAGCGCAGGCGACGGGAGGAGGAGGAGCGACAGCGCCATGCAGAGCACCATGCCCGGCGGGAGCATGATTCTGGTGGCCGGGAGGAGGCGAGGGCTGAGGGCTCTGGGCTGGACCCCACCACCTCCTCCGAGAAGGCCTCTGCCAAGGCCAAGGGCAGCACTGCGGGTGGCCATGGGCCTGAGCGGCCCAAGCGCCCAGGGTCCCTGCTGGCACCCAACAACGTCATGAAGTTGAAGCAGATCATCCCACTGCAGGGCAAATTCCTCTCATCGGGGGCCACATCCTCACTGGCCACTGCAGGGGCCGGAGCCACCGCCCGGCCTCCCCCTGCCCAGTCACCCACGGGCAGCGACACCCGCCTGCCTGCCTTTCTCAGCTTCAAGTTCCTCAAGTCACCCGAGACCCGGCGGGACTCTGAGCGCAGCCACTCGCCGCCCAAAGCCTTCCACGCCGGCAAGCTCTTCCCCTTTGGTGGCACCCGGGCTGAGCCTGGGTCCAACGGGGCGGGCGGGCAGGCCCGACCAGATGGGACCCCCAGCAGTGGCGGCAGCCGGGTTCAGAGGAGTGGGCCGGTGGACGAGGCCATGGCTGAGGAGCTGGAAGCCTCCCGGCCCGAAGAGGAAGGCTCAGGTCACAAGCTTTAACTCGGGGGTGGGGACGCCGGGCCGGCTTTGGGGGTAGGGTAGGGTGGCCAGGCCTGGGGAGAGGGGCTGAAGGGGACAGAGGAGGCCCGGTCTTGGGTCCTGGCAGGGACCTGGGTCAGTGGTACATGCAGCCTCTCAGTTAAAGCCTGCTTCGTATCTCCAGGGCCTTTGTTAGCCTAGAGCCCCGTGCCTGACCCTCCCCAGGGAGGGATGCCAAAGCCGACTGCACCCAGGGACCCCCCCCCACCAGGCTCCCCTGCCAGGAGCGATGAGGGAGGCCCACTTCCCATCCAGCCCACCCTTCTGCTCCAGCTCACTCTGGGGGGGGGACTTGGCCCCCCAGGCCTCTATGCAAATCCACACCCTGCAGCCCAGCTGTTCAGGAAGGACTTCCTCGGAGGTGGGGCTGGGGCTGGCTGCCCACCCAGGGAGCTCCCACATGTGCTGAGCAGAGGTGCAGGCCTCACCCCTACCCTCCCA